TATAGTACCTTCCTCGTTGCGTTTCTTTTCTTCTCATTCTACATTATAATGTTTTTAGAGGTTGTTCTCTCCTAAAATATGTTTATGGAAAATAGAAGGAGTCATGACAATGACTACAAGGGGACCTATCTGCTATTTTATAAGAAGACACGCGGACATGTGCTTTGTGATTTGAAAGGAAGGGAGTCAACATTGCTTAGTTTTGCAGTGTACTTTGTGGATACTTGCCTTGTTAGATGTGGTATATAGGTGAAAAAATTTGTTCAATGGAGTAACTCCATTGGGGTGTGCTTCATCTTTATTATACCATTTTCACTATTAAAATTTATATTGATATATGTTTTAATTTTTAAAAATTAATTTTTTTTAAATTCACGAGATACAAAAAAATTATTTAAATTCAGCGGTGCATGTGCAGGTTTGTTATATAGGTAACCTTGTGTCATGGGGGATTTGGTGTTCAGATTATTTCACCACTCAGATATTAAACCTGGTACCAATTAGTTATTTTCATGATCCTCTTTTTCCTCCCAAGATGGCTCCCGTGAATGCTTCCTGACAATTTACACTCTTTACAGTAAGTTTCAGTACAGGGTGTCACTCTGTCACTCAGGCTGGAGTAACATGGTGCAGTCACAGCTCACTGCAGGCTAGACTTCCGTGGGCCCAGGTGATTCTCCCATCTTCAGCCTCCAGAGTAGCTGGACGCAGGCCTGCACCACTATGGGCTGTTTTTTTGTATTTTAATAGAGGACAGGGTTATGCCATGTTGCCCAGGCTGGGACCACCAATGCTTTTTTTTTTTTTTTTTTTGAGACAGGGTCTCCCTCCGCTGCCCAGGCTCAACGCAGTGGCATGATCACGGCTCACTGCGACCTCAACATCCTGGGCTCCAGTGATCCTCCCACCTTAGCCTTCTAGGTAGCTGGGACTATGGTCTACAGGCCTGTACCGCCGTACCCTGCTAATTGTATTTTTTGTAGATATGGGATTTCACCATGTTGGCCAGGTTGGGTCTTCAACTTCTGGGCTCAAGCGATCAGCCTGCTTCGGCCTCCCAAAGTGCTAGGTTTACAGGCATGAGGCACTGTGCCTGGCCTAACCTGCTCTTTTATTCAAGTCTCCCTTCAAACATTGCTTCCCTGAGGAGAGGCAGGTACTCTCTTTCCTGTACCTCCATGGGTACTCCTGTGTACCCCTGTTGTAGCCCAACCATAATGTAATTTAATGTTCAGTAGGGGCCCACGAGAGAAAATCACGTGTCTTTTTGTTTTCATATCCTTAGATGTGGCACAAGTGCAACCTTAAAAGGTTAGTAATATTCACCAAACAAATACTTAGCTGAATGCTTAATTTCTATGAAACAATGCTTATTCTCCAGGTATCAGGCATTATGCCAGCGATAGATATGCAGACATAAATAGGGCAAGATCCTCGTCCTCAAGAAATGCCATCTGAGGTGGGGTGGGAAAGCAGATGAGAGACAACAGGATTAGATTGTGAAGGAACAGATTCTATATCATTTACAGCTAACGGATGCCAGCATTTATGCTATTCACCTTTTTTAAAACAGGTGAATTAACAGTAGTTAAAAATTCTAACTTAACTTACCCATTAATAAGAACAGTTTTGTTATGAATTTTCCCCCTTGAGGAAATGTATTCTTATAGACCCAGATGTCAAGCTGTCATAGAATCTTGTGATGTGAGGAGATGAGCATTGTCTATAGGTTTCAAGTGATTTACTGTAAGTAGGGAGTTTGCGTCAATCGTAGGCGGAACCTTGGGAGTCAGAATTGCATCAGTTGTCTGAATTGAATTACTTTGTCTGTGCTTTCTGAATTTTGAGATTAAGGTTTAAAATGAAAATCTTGGCTGTTGACTTGTAGCATATTTGTAAAAGTTGAAGTAGTCTTTTCTTAGTTTTAATATTTTCAAATCTAATAGTTTTTTCTTCCTTTCTGATCTTGTGCAGTTTAACAGTTCTGGGACTAAAAATCTTTATTCGTTAATTGAATATTACGGGTTTATATAGAACTGCGCAAAGAGTAGTATGTTGCCTATGGTGAACTTACCTAGTTGTTATTTTCTGGATGATTCTTCGGGATCCTGGCATTAGACACAGAACATAAGCTTACACTGTATTGTCTTTACATTTGTGTGCACCATAACTGTGAGGGCCTTTTCAATGTTATGAGAAATGCAAGTTAGAAAAACTTCTCTTTTTCTCTTCAATGCATGTGGACCCGAAGTCTTTTGAAAATACAATTCTTCAAAGTTTAGAAGCAATCCATGGAATATTTTCAGTGGCATATGGAATATTGTAGTTCAGCATATATGGTCAGTTTACAGGAATTTTTATTTATTCTGTATTTAGTTTTTAATAAGAATGTCATAACTGGAAGATTTCATAGCAACAAAGGACTGTCATTGAATGTGTATATAAATTTAACTTGTATGTTAGAGTTTTCTAGTTAAAACATAGTGATGGTGATGTAAGGATTTGGCATAGAAAGAAGTTTTAGTGAAGGCAGTGAGAATTAGTGTTAAAACAGAGTAATCAGACCAGGAGAGTATGGTTTGATAAGCCAAAAGGGATGAGAGTTTTAGGAGGAAGGGTTGATTAATAGTGTCAAATTAAAGGAAAAACAGCAAACAAGGTTAAGTAAGATAAGGACAAAACAGTATATATTGGTTTAAGTATTTATGAAAGCAGTTTCAACAGAGCAGTCAGAACAGGAGCCTAATGGCAGTGAATATTATCTATCTTGTTTTCTCTTTTACACTAGAGAACTGGACAGATAAGTACTGGTATTATCAATTCTGGCTGACATTATTGTTAGTGAATGCAACATATGTTGAAGAGCAGTCTTGTAACCTGGCAATGTGAGATGAGTGGTGATATTTTTATCTTAATAGGTGACTTTCCCAACAAGTCTTGAGCATCCAATTCATGAAACCAAAATCAATATGAAATGCTTATTAATAAAGGGACTCTTTCTCACTTAGGTTTTCTACTTATTTTCCTATCACATTGATTTTAAGAAGTTCTTTGTCAAACTGATTTCTTGGCTACCACAAATTTTAGACTCTATAGTAAGCTCTTAAAGAATATTAGATGTGCTTTGACTATTTTAAAAATAATATTATTCACTCTGTTCATTTGCCTCACTTCTGGCTGGGAGGAACACTCAGGGCATGATAAAGGTAGGAAAGCAACTAAGCTGTAGACAGCCTAGATTGCTCTGTACTCTAATGGGGCGCTAGCAAAGTGACCTTCTTTTCCCAGTCCTGCCTGATTTGCAGGACTTCCAAATGAGATGAAGTAAATGGGGTAAGAAAATATGAATATGTAAACTACATGTATTGATTTCAACCAATGTCAAAGGAGAAGCAATAGAGTGACTTTAGGTAGAAGCTGTCTTTAATATGAAGGCCAAAATCTTTTATATGTGTTATAGTCCTCCTTGGCGTATAAATTCCCTCATTTTTCCTCAGATCATCCTCAAGCGGGGATCTTGTGATCACATGTGATTCTGCTTCTTATTACTATGGAATACATTGTGCACACTTACTTATTTTTCATTATAATATCCAGCACTATAAGGTGGAACTCCTTTTGCCAGGGCATCAGGGAGTGATTATATATGGAGGAAACTTAACAATAACCTTTAATTTTATCTCATCAGATTCCTACTCCATTCTTGGCTGCCCTCACTTTTGTGGGTGAAAGAATGCAAATCATTCCACAGTTCTGCCATTATTATTTTCTTGTTTTGTCTCCTTTTCCCTGGGGTCTAGCTGACCTGCGTGTCTTTCCCTGAGAATGCTAATGTAAGCCTTTTGTTTCCACCAGATAGCTTGATGCCTCTCCCCGCTCATGTACCATAGATTTCCTCTCTGGTTTATATTTTCCACTTAATACATGCATTTCGATAAGAAGTAAGATGATAACATGGATGGTATATGGACATAATATGTAGGCAACTTGGATATTCTATGAAGAATGGGGAAATCATTAAGAAAAAGAAAAATATATTATTTGTGATAACTACTGCAAGGCTATTGAAAGGTGAACAGCTAGATTAGCAACATTTAAAAAGCTGATGCTCTGAGAGTTAGGGGGAAGGAAGGGATAAACAGGACTTTTAGGGCAGTGAAATGCTCTAGGTGATATGATAAGTGTATACATATCGTTATACATTTGTTTAAGCCCACAGAATATGCAATATTAAGAGTGAACCCTAGTGTAAACCATGGACTTTGGATGATAATCATGCGTCATGTAGGTTCGCAGATTGTAATAAATGTACCACACTGGTGGGGGATGTGATAATGGGGCAGGCTGTGCGTGTGTGGGGGCAGAGAGATATGGGAAATAACTGTGCCTTCTGCTCAATTTTGCTGTGAATCTAAAACTGGTCTAAAAATATGTAGTCTATTTAAAAACAAAGGTTCATGTTCATTAACATTTTAGAAGTATCCCGAAGATGAACTGAAATTTACTTTTTCTGATTCAAGATGAGTGAATTAACCTATGTGAAAATTTGTGGATCCAAGAGAAATAACCTTTGTTACTTCACTCAGTAGTTACTCTTTTGATGAGCACTTAAAAAGCTGTAAATTCAATTATTTATATTAGACTTCACTAACATTTGCTTCCCATTTACCTCTAGGTTTGAAGTTTGAGGAAATTCAAGAAAGATTTGGTGAAGAGTTCTTTAATATATGCTTTCATGAGAATGAGAGAGTCCTTCGAGCTGTAGGTGGCACTTTGCAGGACTTTTTTAACGGCTTTGATGCTTTGTTGGAACACATTAGAACTTCTTTTGGAAAACAGGCCACTCTGGAGTCACCCTCTTTCCTATGCAAAGAGCTTCCTGAAGGCACTCTCATGCTCCACTACTTCCACCCTCACCATATTGTGGGGTTTGCAATGCTGGGGATGATTAAGGCTGCAGGAAAGAAGATCTATCGGCTGGACGTGGAAGTAGAACAGGTTGCAAATGAGAAGCTATGCTCTGATGTTTCAAACCCAGGCAATTGTAGCTGTCTTACTTTCCTTATCAAAGAATGTGAAAATACTAATATCACGAAGAACCTTCCACAGGGAACCTCCCAAGTTCCTGCGGACCTCAGAATTAGCATCAACACCTTCTGCAGAGCCTTCCCTTTCCACTTGATGTTTGACCCCAGCATGTCAGTCCTTCAGCTGGGGGAAGGTCTAAGGAAGCAGCTTCGATGTGACACTCACAAAGTGCTCAAGTTTGAGGACTGCTTCGAGATTGTATCTCCAAAGGTTAATGCCACCTTTGAAAGGGTCCTACTGCGACTGTCTACCCCGTTTGTGATTAGAACCAAGCCTGAGGCTTCTGGCTCTGAAAATAAAGACAAGGTAAGTGGCTATGGACTTGAGATGGGAGATAGGAACCAGAAGAGTGGATAATTCTTTCAGTAAATTATATGGTGGCTGTACTTGTAATTATTTAGGCGAGAGAGCTCAAAGTGCCATTTAGAAGATTACTGGTCCCTGGATGTATGTAAAAAGATTTGGCCCCATTCCCAGCCATTTTGCATAGTGTCTACCTCCTCCTTTAATTTATTTCAGCATATAAAAAGAAGACATTTATTAATACTAGCTATAGCAATTACAAAAATGATAGAACTCACTAAAAACCTGATAATATAAACTCATGAATATTTCCACTGACTCTAGTCAAATTATAAGAAATATAGCGTTTCAACATTGTGAGGCATGACTGCAATATCTTTAAATATAGATGCTAAAAGTTACCTTCACTTTGAATATGTTCTTTTCTAAATTTCATAATCTAGGAACATCTGGTTTACATCCTATTTTTGTCTTAATATGCAGAATAATGCATTCCCCAGAAGTGGAGGATTGACTGTCTCAAGACTTCTTTTCGATTTAAATTTTAGTATTAAAATAGAGATTCATTGATTTAGAACATGATCACTAGTTGAGAGAATAAAGTGAAGCCTAGGAAATTTTTTGTGGATTTCTTTGAATTCTTTTGGGAAATCTGGATTATAAATTATGAATAATTGATGAAAAGACAACAGAAATAAATCTTAAAATATTTAGGTTTAAATGAACATTTTGTCCCTTAGGTAAAATATTTTAAAAAGTCAACATTAAAATGGATAATAAAATATAACGAAAAATAAACCATGACTTTTTACATTTAGTAATATACTTTCAGTGATTAAAGGGAAAAAGTAACATTAATTTCCAGGCAGAAATTTGTACAGTCATTCAGTTTCCAGTAAAGTGTCTTTTCAACATTTTGTACCAGGGTAAATAAAGTTCTTTTAGGCTATTCAGCCTGTTTCCAAGCATTTGGGGGAAGCTATTAGCTATTAGAAATGACAAGTTGCTCTGGGCTAAAGGAAAGAAGAGTTGTGGAAGTAATTAAAGACTCAGTGAAAATAATTTATACATATTCTGGAGTAATATAAATAAATGAGGAAATAGCCCTCTGAAAGCAGCGCTTAACGTGTTTTTGAGGATTTTATACAGGATTTGTTTCATGATTGATGATTTTTGTAATTTTGAAGTTCAATGAAGTTTTTTAAAAAAAATTAGGGAAGGATGGCTGGGTGCGGTGGCTCACACCTGTAATCCCAGCACTTTGGGAGGCCGAAGTGGGTGGATCACCTGAGGTCAGGAGTTTGAGACCAGCCTGGCTAACATGATGAAACCCCATCTCTATTAAAAACACACAAAAAAATGAACTGGGTGTGGTGGGGGGTGCCTGTAATCCTAGCTACTCAGGAGGCTGAGGCAGGAGAATTGCTTGAACCCCAGAGGCAGAGGCTGCAGTGAGCCAAGATTGTGCCACTGCACTCCAGCCTGGGCAACAAGAGTAGACGCTGTCTCAAAAAAAAAAATTATTTGAGAATGATAGAAAGATGCACATTTATTCAATATTACTAAATCAGGTGGTTTAGGAAATTAATAATGTTTTTATCATGCAAGTTCAGTGATTTGAAAGTAAGGATAGACCTGGATTCCAGTTTGGCACATTTGGATAGTTTAGTCTGAATGAATTAGTATTAGTTGATCATATGATGTTTTAAATACAAATTGTCACATATGTATATTATATGTATGCTTAATAATTGCTACCCATTTTGAAGTCCTTTAGAATGGAAGAAACTTGTTAAATGTGTATTTTTGTTAACATTTGTAGTTGCTTTAAAAGGAGTTATTCTCTCTAATTCAGGGAATATCAAAACTCTCAGTTCTGTTTTACAGAAGTACAATATTTGGCTAGGAGAATTTGAAGCATTTTTGGCCTTTAGAATTGAAGTTGGTATTTTTGTAAATGTGTCTGAACTAGAATATATTATTATCAATGTTGTTGCTTTATATATTTTATCGATTTGGGAAAAATTAATTCATTTTAAAATTACTGCTTCATGTTTTTTCCCCTTATATTTCATTTGGCTTCTATTTCTATTTAATTTGTATACCAGGGTAAGAAATAGACATAATGAAATGATGACTCAAATGTCAAGGCCCCCTGCCAATTCCAATAATAAGGAACTGTGCTCATTGAGGAGATGCAATTATCATTTAAACATGTTAGTGGCAGCTTAAAAATAAAGTAATAGGCAGGATTTTTAGTTAAAATAAGGATAGAAATCTACTCATCCTCATATTTATTTCTGCTTACTCACCTGAGTTTGCCAGAATGGGACATTTGGGAGGTTACAGCCGCCCCGTATTGATACTATAGTCAGTAAAGTTGTCACATACAGTCTTACCTAGATGAATAACATTTTAAAATTTGTATGTCATCAAATTTCACATTTACAGTTTATTAAAACATGGAAAGAAGAAAAATAATATGTAAAAATTGTGTTTTTGTTGATAAATTTGACTTTGTCTTCATTATTTTCCCTATAATAGCTGTTCTTGTTAATGTGTACCTGTGTGATGTCTGAAGTCTCTAATTTTTTAGTTGGCTTTTATAAGAAAATGCTATTTTAAAATAATTTATATTTATTCCTTGTTCTAACATTGAGGGCTCTTATAATTTAACTCTTTTGTCTGTGCATTTAATACCAATGAACCACTATGTCTGCCATAAAAAATATCAAGAGCTAATCATGTAGCTGTATGACAGTTAATCATTTGCAGGTTGAACTGCAATGATTTTGATAATCCATAATCTTTCTCATTTTCTGTTATCAGTCACAGGTTAATTGTATGACTAGAGGTAGAAAACGCTCACGAATGATTTAGTGAGATGGAAATGAATGGAAAGCCATTGTCCTAGCCTCCAAAGTATTTACATTTTTATCTTGCTGTAATGAGCTGTAAAGATGCAAGGGTTGGTCATCAGAAGCAAGGATGTCACTGAGGGGCAACTGACGCAGTTATCAGTGGCAGGCTTCAACAGTCTTGAGGTTAGACTTCCAATGGCTTGACCAAGTTTTGATTCCATCACTTGCTTTCCTCTGCATTTTCTCTAAGTCATCATCCATGCCTCACGTATTCTTCTCTCTGCCTGTCTATTTTCTTCCCCCCTCCCCTTATAGTATTCCCGTGTTTTCATCTTTCCCTGAACTCAACTTCCTTTCATCATCTTCTTTCCTTATCAGATGTCAAACATTAAGTATGAATGAATTGGTTGTTTTTAAAAAACCCAACAGATTCAGTATAAAGACTGAATTAATCCATGTTAATTTGTGTTGTGTATCTCTTTTACCCCATTTATATCAAGTATTGTTCTGATAATTTGGAAATGTATTGCATAGATCTTTTGAATTGTAAGACATTGTGGTAAATTTGAGATGAATTTTTTTTTTTTTTGCAGCTTAATGAGCAGTTTTCAGGTTAATAGTTAGTCCATGTAAACATAACCCACTCATATAGATTACAAAGATTCTTTGTATAGAGTGAATCTTGTTTGAGTGAATAGTGTTGTTAGAAATGAGAGTAATAGCACATAGCTTCCTTCTCTGCCAGGTAAGGTCATGATGTGTGGTGAAAGTATCAACAGACTGGGAGAGAGGTGTCTCTGACAACTATGATCTTAGTAAATCTTTTTAATGTTTGAACCTCAGTTTTATACATTGGAAATTAATGAACCTAGACAAATTAATATTTTTACTCCTTTACAAATCATACTTAACATATATACATATATATGAGATCAATTGATCATGAAGGTTTTTTTCTTTTTTTCTAATTTTTTTTTTTAATTTTTATTTTGGAGATGGAGTCTTGCTGTGTCTCACCCAGGCTGGAGTGCAGTGGTACGATCTCAGCTTGCTGCAACCTCCACCTCCCCAGTTCAAGCGATTCTCCTGTCTCAGTCTCCCAAGTAGCTGAGACTACAGGATTGCACTACCACACCCAGCTAGTTTTGTACTTTTAGTAGAGACTGGGTTTCACCATGTTGGCCAGACTGGTTTCAAACTCCTGACCTCAGGTGATCCACCCACCTTTTCCTATCAAAGTGCTGGGATCACAGGTGTAAGCCACCACACCTGGCCATGAAGCTTTCTTTCATCTCTATGTTTCAATGAATTCAGATGCGTTTTAAAAGAGAGGTGCGGAGAATCTGACTTATCTACCATGAAGGGCTCATCTTGTCATGAAGAATTAGTTAAAATAATTCTCTGACAGTTTAGGCTGCCTACCTCAGAAAGTTATTTGGGAGGATTAAATGACATAATCCATGTAAAATTCTTAGCATCTTTGACCCCAGGGTTAAGCACTGCATAGATGTTCATTATTACTTCTACTGCTATTATTGTTTGTGTTCTTTTCCACCTATAACATTCTCCCTATTTATTCCCCTATTCACTTACTGTGTTATAGACGAAAGCACCAGGTGTCAGTAGGTTTGATAATTTTAGAGAAATATTGAGCTCACCTAACATCTTCCTAAAATATGCCGTGGACCCTGCTGCTTGTCTCCTTAATAAAGACTAGAAGACCACTTGTCACACATTCTATAGGAGCTCTGTTTGGATCTGCATTTTATTTACATACTATCATTGTTTTAAAATCTCTGGTCTCTTTGTCAGATTCACGAAGGTTTGGAATCGAGTTTTCATTACTTGTATCTACTAATGTCTTTTATGTTCATTTATCAGAGGATTGTGCAGTGACTTCCAAAATAAAATGGATGTGTTAACTTAGGCACAACCTGAAGAGCAATGGATTTTGAGAAACAATAAATAACATGAGTTCTTTTGACATTTTTTTTTAGTAGCAACGCTTGAGAGAACTTTAATAACACCTTGGAAGGAGCCCAGCATTTGAAATACATCATCCCTGCAACAGAGCAATAGCATTGTTATTCATCTTCACTTTTGTTCTCAGGGTTGGAACTGAGGAAAAGCATAACAACAACA